ATCTTAGCTTCAAACAAAATTTTGAACAGGAAACGTAATCAGGGACATTGAGTAGAGAGAAGCTAATTAGTCAATTTGGCAATTGTTCATATACTTGCCTGTCTGCTAAGAGGGTTGGCAATGTCTGGGAGCCAGCTAAAGATGAGGTGCAAAGTATCATAATGTATTGATGTCGACAAGTGAGGTAAGAGCAAACAAAAGCATTTATGCTTAGACTGTTCAGTAACTAGGTGTAACAAATAAAACCTCCCAACAACTTGAACAAAAGTGATGTATTGGGGTTGCTGTCAGGTGCTGCATGCAGGAAGCCCCTCGTCTTACGAGTCACATTGGTATGATGCTTATTGCACCTCTCCAGTTACGTTGAGGAGAGTCGATCACATAAAATTTAACAATCTTTTCTTCATGGTCTGTTTTAATCATGTATGAGGTGACAAAAAGTTTGTGTTTTTGGAATTCGCCCAATGCCGAGAGTCAGCGTCTACTACCACCTAGTAAGTAGTCTTCCCAAGTTGTGCATCAAGTCTTGATCTCAACGTCTCACCTCGATTTTCCCAAAATGCAATGTATGCAAACCCGATAAAACTCCCCTTTCTTAATTGGTATTAACAGGACAGTGAGTAGTTACTGACGAAAGGAATCTGCCCTTTCAGTTGACACGTATTTCAGCCTGAGTGGTTATTTCTGTAGAAAACAAAATTAGAACTCCAATTACTGCCGTGGACGATACCCTGTTGCAACAGTAAAATATAATTGCTTCGACTTTATATAAAATAGCCTAAGATAAAAGTGAATAATCCTTATTTCTCTTGAGGCCATGCTGACCGCGTCTTTTTGGTTTCAGCGGAAGGTAGGCACCGCTTACCTACCTAGATGCCAAATAAGCCTTATTCCTAACATCGAACAATGTAGGCTGCAAAAAAATGTTGTGTAAGTTAAGTCGAGTTGCTCGAGTATTCTGAGAACAAATTAGGTGTATGCTTTACCTCTAAGAACCCTATAGGAAGAAACTTACTCGGATTGATGAAAGTTTAACCTGGCACTTTAGGTATATTAGGCACTTTAGACAGGTATTTGAAAATTTACTTTACTTAATGAATAAACCAACTCCTTTTTATCTAATTTTAAGACTCAGATTTACTCAGTGACTTCTAATGATGGAAATCAGTTGTAATCAGTTCATCCCTTCCATCGTACGGCTAAAACTACCAACACAAATATTTTCAGTGCTAAATGTTGTAATAACTTCCACAATTTGCCCCAAAATTAAGTAATGCGGTAATTTAAACTTGAAACAAGTGGAACTCAAAATAACATAACGGTGGCTCAATTAAATAAAAGTAGCACTCTAAGGTTATCATATTTAATGGAGCAAATTGCACCTCACATCCACTCGGCATCCGGCCTAACACTTTCAAACAACTAAGTCGACGCGGCCTAATGGCAAAT